TGATGACTAGGGGGGTGGATGTCATGGCGGGGGCCATGATATTTCCCCAGATTTCATGGCGCCTCTTCTCATTTCGTTACGTCCCTGGCCCCCCCGCTGGGCCGCGCACATGCCGCCGGTCATGATGTGCATCCCCCCCTCTTCGACACCCCCCTCTTGGCCGCTCCCGAAGACACAAATCACCGTCGATTCGCGGGAAGATGTGGGAAGATGTGGGAAGTGCGGGGAACGACGGATGTCCAGAAGATTTATGGGGGGAAACGTGGGGAGTCCTGGGATGTGTGTCTGCTTGGTTGCGTGTCCTTGGGCCTCTCTGTAAAGGGCCGCCAGGAGGGCGCGAAGGCTCAGAGGAGGAGAGGGTACCCAGGCCGCTGCTCGTCCCGGAGAGTCCTCGTCGCCACGGCGGGTTTTTCTCCTCGGAATGCGGGTCGGAGCGCACTCCGGGAGAGGCCCGTGGAGGAGTGGTCAGGGTACCTTGTTCTCCTCCTCCTCCTCCTCCACCTCCTCCTCCTCCCCATCCTCCTCCCCCTCCCCCTCCCCCTCCCCCTCCCCCTGCTCCTCCTCCTCCGTTCGCCCTCCCCTTCTCCTCCGAGGTGATTGGCGGTTCGCGATTCACGATTCTTCGCCCTCGTCCTCCCTGTCCTTGGGGCGCATGAGCGCGCGACACGCGAACATAGTCAAGTCGGGCATGTCCATCTACCTGAGGAATAGACAAACATATTTAAACAACAGTATAGGGTTTACCCCACATGGCTACATGTGTGTTGACATGGCTACATGTGTGTTGACATGTTTTTTTGTATGTTTTGTCGCCCGAGATCCGCCTGTAGGAGGACATGCCCGACCTAAGAGCAGATCTGCCCTTCTTGTCAAATCGATCCCAATCCCTATTGGGCCGTGGTGTCTCAGCCCCTCCAACTCACGGTGGGGAGAGGCCCCGCGACATCCGAAGGGAGCAGCATACATCCCAATCTGGGGGGGGGTCGGCCAGTGGGACCAAGGCCATGCCAATGAGCTGGGATTGGTCAAGCGGTGCTCATGACGCCCGTCGTTGACGGCCAGTCTGTCGCTCCGTCGTTTCCTCGCGGGTCGCACGTGCCCATCGGTCGTCGAATGTTGGTATTTTTCAGGGGGGGTAGGATGTATCTATGCCGCTGCCCCTGCCTCGTTCTCGCCTTTTGGGCACTCCTGGGAGGGGCTCGTTGCCACGGCCTGCTTCGAAATTCTAGTCAGAACGCACCCCAGGAGAGGTCTGGGGATTAGGGGTATCTGCATCTGTGGGTTATCCCCAGTGTTTGGATTCCCAGTCTCCGGCCTACTTCAGGCTTCGTCCTATTTCGAGTGTCGAGTGGTTTTCCCGTTTGTTTCCTCTGCATGGGGCGGGAGGAAGCCCAAGCTGCTTTCGGCGCCCTCCTGTTTCATGTCTCTGCCCACCTCCCCCGAACCCGAACGGTGGGGAATGGGGGTCAGCGTCAACAGGGGATCTAATTTCAACGCTTTCCTGCGTCATGTTCCTGAGCGCCCCTTCCGAACGGTGGGTAATCGGGGTCAGCGTCAACGGGGGTTGGCCAATCCCCCCTGGCCGACCTGGGTCCTGGCGCCACGCGTAGCCGACTCTCTCCTCCCGCCCTTTGCGGACCGGGGCTTGGGAGCTGCAGAGCGGCTGGAGGGGTCTGCGCTGGCTCGCGTTGTATCGCGTTGTTTTTCTCGGAGACGGTGGTTGAGAAGCTTCTTCGGTTTCGTGGGGAAGGTAAGGGGTTCTGAGGGAGCAGGTCTTGAGTTGTTTCGCCGTTTTAAGCTTCCTGGGGCCCTCCACGGGTCCCAGGGTTGCCAGACAATTGTTGACGCTTCGCGTGTTTGCTTTCATGCTCTTCGGGCACTCCGTGGCCACGCTCGTGTGCATGGTCTGCGTGTTCGGTACGCTCTTCTGCTGCTTGCCGCCTGGTCGGTTTCGCGGCCTCTTGCGAGCCGTCGCTCATTGTTTTTCTCTTCGCTACCATCGCGGCCCGCCGTAGCAGGCTCGTCGTTCGACTCATTTCGGGCGCCCGCGGATTGAAACATATCCCCACCAGCCCATCCAGAAACGATGCCCAGGGGAGTTGAGGTGATCCGGGAAGTGGGGGACCATGCAGAAAAAATAAAGGGCGGGGGAAGCCATCATATACCCCAATAGGGGGAGGATGGAGGAGGAATCGTCGTCGTAGTCGGAGGAGGAGGAGAAGGAGGTGGAGTAGGACGAGGCCGAGGAGGACGAAAAGGGGGAGGAGGAGAAGGAGGAGAACGAGAGAGAGTTGGGTACCTCGGGGATCCTCTTGAAGCGTCGTACGGGGTCTCTTGGAGGCCTCTGGGGCCGTCTGGGAGCCTCTCGGGGCCCTCTTGGGGCGCGCGCTCTTGGAAGATTCAGGAGCGTTGCTGGGGGCATCTTGGAGGACATCGATCAAAGAAGAGGGGAGTTCCAATTATATGTTTATAGATATACACAGTTTATAAGCATGGCTTTACACGTAACGCAATATCCCGAAGTAGTTGTTTTGGGACAAATTTGTCCTGGGGCCTCTTCCCTCTCCCATTTCTCCTCGTCCCCTCCCCTTCTCTCTCCTTTTCTCCTCTCCTCATGATATGCGTGGCAGGGCTAGGTCGTCGTCGTCGTTGTCGTCGTATTCGTGCGACGAGGACGACGACGGCTTCTTCCTTCCTCGTCATGCATGCCACGCACGACGTGCTGGGACAAGTCCTTGATTATCCCACCAGGATCCCGAATTTCATTATCCCCCTGGTGTTGTTATCAGGGGCACAGGGTTATCGATTTTGTGTTGGCCTTACCCTGGCCACATTCATGACTGCGAAAATTGTTGTCGCCGCAGCGCTGGCCAAATCCATGATTGCGAAGTTTGCTTTCGCATCAGCGCCAGCCACATCAAATACTGCGAACGTTGTTCTCGCTTCAGTGCCAGCCGCCTCTGTTATTGCGAACGTTGCTCTCGCTTCAGTGCCAGCCACATCTGTTATTGCGAACGTTGCTCTCGCTTCCGTGCCTGCCATATCCGTTATTGCGAACGTCGAACTCGCTTCAGCGCCAGTCACATCCGCGACTACGACGGGCGCTGTCGCCCCAGCACCAGCCACATCCATGATTTCGAACGTTGCTCTCGCCTCAACGCTGGCCACATCCATGATTGCCTCAGTTGCACTCGCCGCAGCGCCGGCCACATCCATGATTGCCTCAGTTGCTCTCGCCTCAGCGCTTGCCACACCCACGTTTGCGAAAGTTGCTCTCGCCCCAGCGCCTGCCAGGCCACATCCATGATTGCGAGCGTTGCTGTCGCCTAGGCGCCAGCCACATTCACGTTTGCGAAATTTGCCCTCGCCTCAGCGCCGTCCACATCCGCGATTGCGCAAGTTGCTCTCGCCTCGGCGCCGGCCACATCCATGATTGAAAAATTTGCTCTCACCCCAGCACTCGCCACATCCATGATTGCGCTAGTTGCGTTCGCTTCTTCGCCGGCCAGGTTCTTCATTGGAGACGAAGAGGGATTAGCGATACAGTTGGCACTTTTGCATTACATGTTGCTGTGTCGCCCCATTATGGTGCATCATTTTCTACAGCGCGCGTGTGGCACACAGGTGTCAGAGAGCCTTTGGTCACATTCGCTTAATCATTAGGTCAGGTTAGCTGTGGCGGAGTGTTGACAGGGCCTGGGTCAGGTTAGGTTGGGGATTTGCCACGTTAGGGTGGGCTTGCAGTCATATGTACCGACACCGATACCTTCGGAGGGCTAGAGGTTGGTACCAACACCAGTCAGTATCGGCGGTTGCCTCCACCGAGGAAAGATGCTCCTGATGATTCGGATGACATTTGGGCTTCCGAGGTGATCGAGAGATTGCCACCAGCACCGACTTCCTGGATCGCCTTCCCCCGGTGGAAGCAAACCCCTGTGCTGGTGCTGCTGCCAATGTTCATCCAGGCCTTTCAGATTGGGGCTGAGTAGATGGGTTTCGAGGATCGCGCCACATCGCCGATGCATCGGCGATGCGGCTCGATGCAGATCCCGATCTTGTCCACGCCGACGGCGCCGATGCACCGCCCACGTCGTCGATGCATCGGCGCTGCATCGGTGATGTAGCGCGATCCTCCGATCCCACCACGTCGAACCCCATCCAGGAGGCCTCTGGAACAGACCGCCTTTGCAGGTGCTTGTGCCCGAAGTCATGACCGAACGCGTGCCCGAAGTCATGACTGAACAAGTAAGTGTGACCGAGGTTGTGACCGAACTTGAACATCGTCTTGGCTGCGAAGAAAAGAATTTTGGGTGCCAGTTTCGGTCACCCTCGGGCAGATGTTAGCGCACAGTTTCGGTCAGGGATCGTCTCAAACAGTGTTCTTGCGATGCTGTGGGCCGTTTTTGCTTCGACTCTGTTCTGCAGCACACTCGGATTGAAGAGACAGCCAGGGACAACGCAACCATAACGGAAACACAAAACACGGTTTTGGTCGAGCCCTCGTTTCGGCCACCAAAACAACCCTGATAGAGCGAGACCGCGCGACACGTCTCAAGCCTCCGGGGAGGAGGGGCAGCCTCTCGGGGAGGGAGGGAGGGAGGGAGGGAGGGAGGAGGAGGAGGAGGAGGAAGGAGGAAGGAGGAAAGAGGAGGGAGGAGAAAGGAGGGGGAGGGAGGAAGGAGGAAGGAGGAAGGAGGAAGGAGGCAGGAAGAGGGAGGAGGGAGGAGGGGAGGAGGAGGAGGAGGGAGGAGGAGGAGGGAGGAGGGAGGAGGAGGAGAGGAGAGGAGGAGGGAGGGGAGGAGGAGGAGGAGGAGGAGGAGGAGGAGGAGGGAGGAGGAAGGAGGAGGAGGAGGAGGAGGAGGAGGAGCAGGAGGAGGAGCGGCCGCACCTCCGCCGAGCCCCCCTTGGGGGCCGCATGGGCTCCCCGCGCGCCGTGCCGCCCCCGCGGCGCTTTTGCGCGGCCCGCTCGCCCCCCCCCCCCCCGCCCGCGCCGCGGAGAGGCTCGCCGCCTCGAGGTCGCCGTCGCGGGCCACGCGAGCGCGGTTTCCGTGAGGCCGCCGCGCGTGGGACGGGGGCCGGGCTCGGCGGCAGCAAGTCGGGCGTGTCCCCCTACAGGAGGGATGGTCAAAGCACGGTATGAAACATAGTTTTTGTTTTAAACAGTGTGGGGACGATGTTTCTGCTACTTTTGATTATTGTTGGATGCTTCTGGGGTATTTCCGAGAGGAAAATCGTCATCTAGAGGGGAGGGGGGTTCAGCGCAGATCCAAGGAATCCGCGCGGAGCGCCAAGAGTTCATGTTTATGGCGTTTTGCCTCCCTCTCTTGGTGCGCGGCCTGCGGGCTCGGCTACCCATCGGTCGTTGAAAGTAGGCATTTTGAGAGGTCCAGGTTTCAATCTACTTGAGGCGCCGTCCTACTTCAAGGACCGAGTGGCTTCACCTTTTCCTTCCTCCTTAGGAGGGCGGACGGACGAAACCGTAGGGGGCTCGGCTACACGTAGCAGCGGGCCTTCGCCGGAGTGACCTCTGGTTCGAAGAGGAAAGACGGCCTAAACATACACTCCGGGCGCCACGCGCGGATTCTTGAGTCCGCGCTGGGCGCCCCCTGGTGGCGCCTCCAGCGCCGCCCCTGGCGCGCTCCGCGCGCCAGGGAGGGGGTCCCAGCGCGGATCCAAGAAACCGGCGCGGAGCGCCAAAAGCGTATGTTTAGGGCGTTTGTGTCCTCCTCCTCCTCCTCCTCCTCCTCCTCCTCCTCCTCCTCCTCCTCCTCCTCCTCTGGTAACAGCGGCCCTTCGCCAGAGTGGCCTCTGGTGTGCGGCCCTCGGGCAGCCAAAAACAAAGGGGGCCCCGCCCGGGCGCGCGGGGTGGCGCACCGTCGCACCTCGCTCTCCACGGTCGGCCAGCCGCGCGCCGCAGGGCCACTCTGCCCATGGGTCACTCGTTGCGTGCAGCCGAGGAGGGGCGGCGGCCTCGAGCGTCCGCCGCCGCCGCCGCCGCCGCCTTCATCGTCGTCGCTTTCATCGCCGCCGTCGCCGTCGCCGTCGCCGTCGACGTCGTCGCCGTCGCCGCCGTCGGCGTCGCCGTCGCCGTCGTCGCCGTCGTCGGCGTCGCCGCCGTCACCGCCGTGGTCGGTGGTGGTTTCGCCGTCGCCGTCGCCGTCGTCGCCGTCACCGCCGTGGTCGTTCTTCGCGGATGCCCCGCGCGGAGCGTATCCGCACGGCCAAGCATCCGCAGGACCGCGCCCCGCGATCCAGTGCGCGAGGGCGCAGGGCTCGGGGGCTGCGCACAGACATCCCCACCGGGTAGTCCTAGCTGGCCTCAACAGGTCCCCCGAGTAGTCCGGGGCGGTCTCCACCTCCTACCCCTGGGGCGCGGAGCAACCGGGTGCTGTGACCGCCCCAGACTACAAGAGGGCCCTGTGAAGGCCAGCTGGGACGTCCCGGGGGGGCCTGTTGAGGCCAGCCGCGACTACCGGGGGGGGCGTCCGTGCGCAACCCAGGGCCTTGCCGCGCGGATACGTACGGACATGTTCGCCGCTCGCGGGCCTCGCGCCGCCCGGAAGTCCCCGCCGCCGCCGCCGCCAGGTGGGGCGACGGCGCGGCGGCGCCAGGCGCCCCCGGAAAGGCGGCGCCCGGCAGCGGGCTGCAGGTCACGGAGGTCGAGGTGATCTCGACCACGCAGGCTGCCCTCGAGGGGGGACACTGCGGAGGGTCGATGCACAGTGGTCCGCTTTCCCGCGCAAAGCAACCGTTCATACAAGGCCCCGCTCGCAGAGCAGCCTCTCGACGTGGCTGGACGCTGTAGCACCACTCGTGTGCACGGCGCTCGAAGTGGCTAGGTAGCTGGTTCGCTTCACGATTGCGCCACAGAGATTTTCACCGTGCTGCTGTGTCCGCTCCCCCTCCCGTCCAAGATTGAGCCGCCATCGTGGAGTGTCGAGTCGCAGGTGATTTTTGGACCTCAGCCCCCGACTTCTCCAGGACCCCCCTCGTCGTATATCATCCCTGAGTTGAGCCCCGAGTTGTGGACAACCCCACGAAGTCGGGGATAGAGATCGACATCTTCTGTTGTCGAGGTTCCCGGATCGAGGAAGCGCTAACATGGACTCGGGTTGGCGCCTCAACAGGCCCCCCGAGAAGTCTGGGGCGGTCTCAACACCCTGGCGCCGCTTCCGCGGCGGCCCTGGGGGGCTGCGCGCTCCAACTTGCGGTGTTGATTCCGCCCAGGCTACGCGGGGGACCTGTTGATGCCAGAGGAGGAGGAGGAGGAGGAGGAGGAGGAGGAGGAGGAGGAGGAGGGGGAGGAGGAGGAGGCGTGACTACCTGGGGGGCTGCCTGTGCGTATCCCGACGCCTTACCCCTCAGATTTACGGCGCGTGGGTTAGCAACCTGCCCCGCTTCCATGCAATCTCGACGCTTTCCGTCGTCAACTCGGACGGCACTGCCTGCATGGTGTGGGAGGTCGGTTTGCTGGACGTTCCCTGCGATCTGGGCTCTGCAGTTCTTGCTCGCCTTGGGCGCTTCTCCGCCCGCTCTCGGGCGCGGAGGCCCTCGGAGCTCGATCTGGTCCGCAACGTGCAGCAGAAGGCTGGGATCTGGAGCTCGAGTGGTGACTTTTCACGGCCGGTGGTCAGCAGAGAGGGGTAGGTCACCACCCACCAAACCACCCCAACCCAACCCGAAGGCTCAGATTTACCCTCGATTTCCAGTGGGGGGGGGGGTCGGGAAACATCGAAAAAACACGTGTGGAACCCTTACCCCCCCCAACCCGAAATTCGGGTCTTCGGGTTGGGTTGGGGTGGTCTGGTAGGTAGTCAGTAGGGGGATGGGGGGGGGGGCTTCTTAGAGGCACCCCTGCTTCTGAGAAGGCGCGGGCCCTGTCCGTCGATGCGGGGTCGTCGTCGCCCTCTAAGAAGCAGCCTCCTTCTCAGAAGCCTTCCCCCCTCCCCCTCATTGCCTCCTTTGACGCGCCGCCAGGATTCGGAGTTTGATAGACCTCCTACCCTGACGCGTCGATTAGCGAATTGGTCGTTTTCGCTTCGCGAGAGGCTGTCGCGGCCGTCATTTCTGCAGGCCCAGGTCCGTCGGTTTCGGCACTCGACAGGAGGTTTGTCCACCGCCGACTTTCGCGCCGCCAAGATTCGCGGATGGACAACCCCCCTTCAGTAAAAAATGGTTTGGTGAAAACGACCTGAGGCCCAAACCTGGCGGGCGCAAGCCCGGAAAGCAGCGGCCACGGCGCCCTCTCGAGAACCGAAAATGGACAATCCACTAAGCGACGTGCCACTGTTGGGGGGTTCTGTCCACCCCCGAAAGATGAATCGGAGGTTGATAGACCTCCTACCCTGACACGTCGTCCGTTTTCGGTTCTCGAGAGGGCGCCGCGGCTGTCATTTTCCAGGCTTGCGACCGCCTGGTTTGGGCCTCAGGTCGTTTTCACTAAACCACGTTTTACTGAAGGGAGGTCTGTCCATCCCCGAAAGAGGCTCGGAGGGGGGATGCATCGACCCCCACTCGCCCATGCGTCGCCGAAAAGAGCCTCATATCAGGCGATCGCGAACATGGATCAGGGGGGGCGTGAACTAGCGATGGGTCCCCTTTCCACGGGGAATCGCAGATTCCCGCCGCCGAGCGAGGCGGCAGCGGCCACATTTTGGGGAGGGCACTTCCCCCTGTCCATGGATTCGGCGACCGCGCGCCAAATCCATGGATTGCTAATCCATGTTTGCGCGCCCCCGATAACAGCCCACCCCGCTCAGGAGCGTTCGGATTCGCTATCGGGGGCCTATTGCCGATCGATCGGCAATGTGTCACGGATTCCAGGTCGATGTCTACCACCCCTGAGTCGTTGCCATTCTCGTGTGTTTTTGGCCTTTGTGGGACTGCGAGAGGTCCTGAGATGAATCGATATTTCTCGTGGTTTCTCAGCTTCACAATTACTCAATATGAATACTACTCTCCCTCTTCCCCTGATGACGTCTTTTGCGTATTCGCCCCCCCCCCCCGCGTACTGTTTTTTTACACACGATTCCCCGGAGTTGGGTTTTCGCCTGCGTTTTTTTTCAAAATGCTGCTCTCGCTGAGGCGCCGGCCTCATTTCTGCTCCCGAATCGTTCCGAATCGTGCTCCCGCTGCAGCGTGGGCCTCATTTTCGGATCGGTGTTTTGCCTCCGTCGTTCAGGATGGCGTTCTCGCCCCAGCGCGGGCCTCTTTCTCGCGCGCCCATCCGCCCGCCACCACCGCGCCGCACCACGCCCCGCCCCGCCGCACGCACACCCACCGCCACTTCCACCCACCAACGCACGCACGCACGCACGCGCACCACCACCGCGCACCACCACCACCACCGCACTACACCCACCACCACCACGCTACACCGCGTCACACCACACAGACACACAGACACACAGGCACACAGGCACACAGGCACACAGACACACAGACACACAGACACACAGACACACAGACACACAGACACACAGACACACAGACACACAGACACACAGACACACAGACAAAAAGACATACAGACACACAGACACACAGACACACACAGACACACAGACACACAGACACCCATACACCCAGACACAGAGACACAGAGACACAGAGACACAGCGACACAGCGACACAGAGACACAGAGACACAGAGACACAGCGACACAGACACACACACACACACAGACACACAGACACAGACACAGACACAGACACAGACACAGACACAGACACAGACACCGACACAGACACCGACACAGACACAGACACAGACACAGACACAGACACAGACACAGACACATACACATACACATACACATACACATACACATACACATTCACATTCACATACATACATACATACATACATACACACATACACACGCACACACACACACACACACACGCACACACACAGACACACACACACACACACGCACCACCACCGCCACCACCATCACCGCCATCACGCACGTACGCACCTGGCCCACCACCAAACCACCAAAACGCCACACCACGTCACACCACAGTACACGCGCACACACGCACACACACACACACACACACATACACCACCACCACCACAACAACCACAACCACGCACACACGCACGCACGCACGCGCACCACCACCCACTACGCACACGCGCGCGGAGCCACAGGTCCGCTACGACACGCGTCCGCCGATAGAGAAAATCAGCGCCATGGTAAGGGATGGGAGGGAGGGGTAGGATGTCAGATGTTGACGCGAGCGCACCTAACTTGTCATCCTTCCCTCCTCCTTTCCCCCGTTCCTCCTCCGTGCGCTTGCGATGCTCGCGGAAAGTGGCGTGGCGGCGTGGCAAGTCAAGTTTGAACAGGAAATCAGCCACGCACACTCCCCCGAGGTCAAGATCGAGGAGGGTCGAGGTTCCAGGATCGAGGTTTGTTTCACGCTTCTCGCTCATTTTGGCGTGCTTGGGGCTTCTCGTCGCCAAGGATTGATCCGCTTCGAGATCAAGCTGGACAGGTCCGGGGGAAGGTTTTTGAGCCTCCGACTCTTTCGTGCCGCGAAGAATCTTGATGGGAGGTCATCGGTATTTCAGCATCAGGGGGTCCCACCTCGCCGCGTGGCCGTCAAAAAACGAATCGGGATGCAACGCGGGTCCTATCCAGAGAGGGCTCTCCCTGGAGAAGCGGCCTCGGAATTTCCTATCGAATTCTGGGGAGCTTCAGTGCGCCAGGGGTGCCTTCCAGCGGCCGCGCCTCGTCGAGGGCTCCTGGGGAAGCCAGGAGCCTGCCGACTGGCCACCTGGGGCTGGTGACCTCGTCCACGCAGGCTCTCTCTCTATCTCTCTCTCTCTCTCTTTCTCTCTTTGTCGTCGGCTACACGCGTACCCATCGGTCGTTGACAGTAGGTATCTTTGGATTCCCAGATACCAGTCTACCGAGGAAGCATTTTAAGAACCCACCTGGGGTTATCTTAGCACCGCAATGTTATTCACTATTCCACGGGGGCATTTTCGCCGAACGATATCTTTAGCACCGCGCCATTTGAACCAATACTTAATTATCTTGCATTGGGTGTCTAGAGCTCCGACCAATTTCTTTCGGCACGGCACCCCCTCCATCACCCACACATTCCACCAGCCAGCGCGCCCCTCCGCCCCGGCCCGTTTATTTCGGCACGGCACGCTTTTTATTTCGGCACAGCACCCCCCCCGCATCCCCCCACCCACCAACCAGCGCGCCCCTCCCCCCCGACCCTTCTTTTTTCGGCACGGCACACCCCTCCGCCCCGACCCTTCATTTCGGCACGGTACACCCCTCTGCATCCCTTCCACCCACCAGACAGCGCGCCCCTCCGCCCCGCCTCCTTTATTTCGGCACGGCACACCCCTCCGCCCCGACCCGTTTTACTTCGGCACGGCACACGGCCTCCGCATCACCCCACCCGCCAGCCTTCGCGCCCCTCCGCCCCGACCTCTATATTTCGGCACGGCACACCCTTTTGCCCCGACCCTTCTTTATTTCGGCACGGCACACCCCCTCCGCATCCCCCCACCCACCAGCCAGCGCTCCCCTCCGCCCCGACCCTTCATTTCGGCACGGCACACTCCCACCGCACCCTCCCACCCACCAGTCAGCGCGCCCCCTCCGCCCGACCTTTTTATTTCGCACGGCACACCCTTCCGCCCCGACCCCGGCTCCCAGCGCCGCCTCCCTCCCCCGACCCCGTTTATTTCGGCACGGCACACCCTTCCGGCCCGATCCCTTTATTCCGGCACGGCACACCCCCTCCGCATCCCCCCACCACCCAGCCAACGCGCCCCCCCGCCCCGACGCTTTTTGTTTCGGCACGGCACACCCCCCTGGCTCCTCCCACCCACCAGCCAGCGCACCCCCTCCGCCCCGACCCTTGTATTTCGGCCCGCCCCCCCGCCCCCCCGCGCGCCCCTTCCGCCCAGACCCCTTCTCTTTCGACAGGGCAGACCCCTCCGCCCCGACCACTTTATTTCGGCACGGCACACCCCCTCCGCATCCCCCCCACCCACCGGCCAGCGCGCCCTCCGCCCCGACACCTCTCCGCCCCGACCCCTGTATATCGGCACGGCACATTCCCTCCGCATGCCCCCACCCACCACGCGCCCCCTCCCCCCGACCTTTTTTTATTTCGGCACGGCACCCCCCGCCCGACCCTCTTTATTTCGGCACGGCACCCCCTCCGCATCCCCCCCCCACCAGCCACGCGCCCCCGCCCCGCGCCCCCCCCCCGCCCAACCCCTTTACTTCGGCACGGCCCCCATTCCCTCCCCGCGCGCCCCTCCGCATCCCCCCCACCCACCAGCCAGCGCGCCCCTCCGCCCCGACCCTTTTATGACGCCCCCCCCACCCACCCACTCACAAGCCAGCGCGCCCGTCCGCCCCGACCCCTTTTATTTCTGCACGGCACACCCCTCCGACCTTCCCCCTTCCTTTTTGTGCAAGAGCCATGAATCACGTGCCACTTGTTCCTGCCCCCGGGCTCGGGTATAATTCCCATTGGAATCTGGAGGCGTCCGATTTGAATTCGGTTGCACACGAACATTGATCATTATATTATACGGCAGTACTGATAACAGCACCATGAGTAAGTACGCGAATGGAAACACAATATCCAGCATCGAAACGCGGATGCGAGTAATAAGAAGACGACTAATAGTAGAAAACGAATAATAATAAGACTAATAATGCGAAAGGGAAGACACACAGTAATACTTGGAACAACTGCCGCACGCCTTGACCCCATCAATTTTATATTGTTGCCCCTATGCTAAGGCTTTCGATGCACCTGCCGTCGCACAGGGTGGTCCATCCGAGGATATCGCTTACGCCCCGCACGGAGCGATACCTTAGCACCGCACGCGCACCAAAAACAAATAATCCCAGCGCCCCCCCCTCTAATAGTATTGCGAACAACAGTAACAAAATGACTGACTATCAGAAAAAAAAAGACAACGGATAAGGACAATAATGCGAAACAGACTCTTTTGGGGATCCGATTGGAACACGTATTGTTTTCGAATGTTATTGGAGTCCTAATGGAAGCCGATCGAGATCTAACTGGAATCGTGTTGTATTGTAATTCTATTGGAATATGATTGGATTCCTGTTGGAATCCTGCTGGGATCCGATCGTAGTATAATCTTATTGTAATCCTAGCTAGCTAGGAGTCCGTTTGGAGTCCTGTTGTATTGGAGTCGTATTGGGTTCCAATTGTAGTGCTTTTAGAATCCTATTCAATGGTATTATATTGGGATCATGTCGCCATCCGATTGGAATCATGTATCATATATACATACTTCGGAAGCTGCCGTCCGCCTTGAAAGAATCAATTTTATATTGTTGCCCCTATGCAAAGATTTTAGATGTACCGGCCGTCGCACAGGGAGATCCATCCGAGGATATCCCCCCCACCCCGCACGGAGCGATATCTTAGCACCGCGCGCGCAACACATAATTATTACCAGCGCCCCCCCCCCCCTCGAAGAATATTACGAAAAAGGATAACATTAGGAATGCTAATCCGAAAAAGCTTCTGATGATACGAGTGGCAATCAAAATCAGATTGGCACACTATTGGGTCCGGTTGTATTGGAACGCTATTGGAACCCTGTTGAGATCCAATTGGATCCCAGTGGAGTCGCTGTTGTATTGGAATCATATTGGGGTGTTATTGCGTTCTTATTTGGATCCTACATCGTTGGATCCTAGTTTATTGGAATATGATTGGCATTATATATTGTGACCCTTTTGAGATCTTATTGTATTGAAGTCATATTGGAATTAGTTCGGAAATACATTGCATTGGAATACGATTGGAATATAATTGGGATAATGTCGGAATCTGATTGTATTAGACAAAGATCCGGATATGAGGCAAATCCGATTGAAGTCATATCGTATTGGGGTCCAATTTTGAATCCTATAGGAATCCTGTTGTGTGGGGCTCCTATTGGAATCCTATTGTATGGGTTGGAATCCGGAAAGTATTCTGTTCGAAACCTGTGGGAAAATGGTTGAACTCGTTTTGGGATCCTATTGTATTGTATTGGAGTTTTATTGGAATCCTATTGGAATCCTGGTGGAATCTTATTGGAATCGCATTGGACTCCGATTGAAGTCCTATTGGAATACTACTTGAGTCCTCTTGGAATCCGATTGTATTGTATTGCATTGTATTCTATTGTATTGTATCGGAATCCTAGTTGGATCCAGTTCGAACCCTATTGGAATCCCATTGGGATCTTATTGTATTGTATTATTTTGGGGTCCTATTGGGATCCTATGTGAACAGGAATCCAGTACAGCGGGAATTCCAACAGGATTCCAATAGGATGCCGATCGGATTCCAATATAGTATGACCTCTATACGATTCCAACAGGATTCGAATACAATCGGATCTCCAATAGGATTTCACGACGCCGACGCCGACGCCGACGAAGGCGCTGACGGCGGCGGCGGCGGCGACGACGACGACGACGAATGGGGGTCTTATTGCCATCACATGAGAAGCCGGCCGAGGTAACGCTTCCAGAGTGCCGGAAGCGTTATCGTTTCACCGGAAGGGGCGGTGGGGGTTCGTAAATGCTTCCTGGGCGTACTTCCAGCGCCTTCCTACTTCAATGATCGAGTGGCTCCCCTTTTCCGTTCTTCCATGAGGGCGGGCCGAACCCAATCTGATTTCAACGCCTTCCCTTTTCATGTTTCTGCCTGCTTCTTCCGACCGATGGGCAAGAGTGACCTTTTGCCGGCGTGGCCTTTGGTGCGGGCCCAGTGGGGCCCTCCGATCGCCGGATGCGGTGCGACAGCAGCGGCTCGCGCGCCTCCCGTGTGGGGAGCGCACCAAGTGTCACGCTTGCCCAGGGTCACTCTGTGGCGTGTCGCCGATCTTGCTCTTGATGGCATGTTCGGCGGTGTTCGGAACCCCGCGTCACAACGATTGGATTCTCGGGCCAAACGAAAGGGGGAGATAGGGAAGGGGGGGGTTACGAAATCTGCTGCATGCAGCTGGTTTCGGCCCCGCCGCCGGGCCCATTCCTCGATACATGGGCGCCTCCTGGCGCCGGAGGCGCCGGGAAAATCAGCTACGCGAGCTGAATCTCAAACCCCCCGTTCGTTATCCCCCCCTTTCGCCCGGCCCGAGATTCGCTGATGTCAGAACTCATGGCGCCAACATCGCAGAGCGGATTTCGCTCGGAGAGCAGTGGGATGGGCCCGGATTGTCCTGGAGAGTTGCGTTCCGGATGTCGAGGTGAATTTCGTGCGGATTTGTTTTGTGGCCAGGGATGAAGACTAAAGAATCCACATGCAATTAATTTCGTTTTTCGCTCGCCGTTGTGGGGTCTTGCATTGACAGAAATCCACTCGAAAATCCGCTGCAGCACGTCTGCAAGGTCGGTGCAATGACAGAACGCGTGCCGCGATATTTAGGTCCAGGCTTGGTTTGCCCAAGCAGCCTCCAGGAGGTTTCATGTGTGTCCCGACCCTCGAGTGGGGGGGGGGGGCAGGATCCTGTACCTCCGGATTGTGCCGTTTCGGGTCCCAGGACCCTTACAGGTCGGTCATTGAACGTAGATTTGTTTGATCCCAAGATCCCAATCTACTTCCCAATCTACTTCTAGCGCCTTCCTACTTCAACAATCGATATGCTTTTGTTGTGTTTTGTTATTCCTTGGGAGAGCCTGGACCCAAACTACTTTAGCCGCCTTCATATCTCTTGTTCTGACCTACTTCTTCCGACCGACGTGTACGGATCGCTCTGGCTCGATCAGGCTGGCCCGATCTTGCCCGAGGAATCCGCCGGGGCCTTGATGAACAGGGTGTCGAGAGTTTGGTCGCTTTTGGCGTTTTATCCCCCGGCGTCAGACCTCGGGGCTGTCGCAGGGACCACTCGTGTCCATTCCCATGGCGTCGCTATCGGCTCCTCCTTATCCTCCTCCTCCTCCCCCTTCCTCCTCCTCCTCCACCCTCCTCTCTCCTCCTACTCCTCCTCCTCCTTCCCCTCCTCCTCCTCCTCCTCCTCCTCCTCCTCCTTGTCCTCCTTGTCCTCCTTGTCCTCCTTGTCCTCCTTGTCCTCCTTGTTCTCCTCCTCCTCCTCCGATGGCGAGGGTATTCACGGGAACGGATGCAGCGCTTTCGCGAGTGCGCTCGGCCCTGGCGTGTCCGTGCCCATGCCGAGGCGGCCTTGGATTGCAGGGTTAACGTGCAGCCGGGCCTGTCCCACAACACAGGTGCCAAACTCACACATGTTCAGAAAATAGTCGGGGGGCGATTTTTCATTTCGACAATTCGTTAATGACTATGTTTTGTTTTTCCTCCCAAATCCGCCTGTAGGGGGACACGCCCGACCTAAGGGGAACGGCCCGCGACGGTGCGGATGGGGATCTGCCCCTCGGCCGCGAGGCCGTCTGCGCGGACAACCACGGCCTCACCGCCGTCGGCCCCAGCCTCTGTCCCGACGAGCCCGGCGCGCTGCTGGGCTGCGACGACGTCGGGCCCGGCGACCTGTGCGAGGGCAGCGGCGAGTGTTTCACCGACGACTTCCTCGACAACTGCGGAGGCTACGACGTGTACTTGAAGAGCGAGGCCCAGCAGCCCCTCCGGCCTGAGGAGGGCCGCTGGGAGGCGGAGGAGGAGGAGGAGGAGGAGGAGCCCGTGGCGGCGGGCGCCGAGGGCGGGGACAGTCGCCTGTACCACGCGGTGGACAGCCACGACAACTTGTCCTGGGACGACGACGCCCCGGAGCCGACGGGGAGGGCGCGAAGCCATCGGCGCGGGCTGCCCGAGGCCCGCGCGGAGTCCTCTCGGGGTCGGCGCCGGCGAGGCCTTCGGGCGGCGCGCGGACGGGCGCCCTGCTTCGGCGGCGACGGTAGGGGCCAATAGCCCAGGGGCGGGCATTACACGTATTCGCCCCAGAGCCTTGTCGAAGACATGGGTCATCGGTACTCCTGGATACATGTATTGCTCCCCCCCTGGGCTAGTCGCCCCTATCGTCGCCTCCGGCTGCTCGTCCTGGAGAGCCCTCGTCGCCACGGCCGGGTTATCGTCGAGATTTTGGTCAGGAGGCACCCCGGGAGAGGCCCAGGGAGGCTCGGCCACGCGCAGAGGGGGGTCTTCTTAGAGGCACCCCTGCTTCTTAGGGCGCGGGCCTTATCTGTAGACGTAAGGCCAGGACCTTGTAAGAAGCAGGGTGCTACTAAGAAGCTTTCTATTCCACCCTCCCCCTACCCCCCTCCGCGCGCCGCCAAGAGGTTTCAGGGTCGACGAGGAAGAGCAAGGCTGGATTCGGGAAGACTTCGGGCTGCAGACAGGCTCCCCCCAGGTGGTCCCGGCTGGCCTCAACAGGCCCCCCCCGAGCAGTCGGGTCGATCTCAGCGCCCGAGGCATGGGGTGTTGTTTGGGACTGCTCGGGGGACCTGTTTTGAGGCCCGCCGGGGTTACCTGGGGTGGCTGTCTGAGACGGCCCGAAGCCATGCCAGTCGGCGCTGGACCCACCCCCGCCTGGCAGCGCCTCCAGCGCCGCCCCCCACGCGGAGCGCTCCGAGGGTAAAGGGGTCCAGCGCCGACCCAGGAGTCCGCGCGGGATTCTGGGAAGTTGCGCTCGTGCCGTCCTTCTCCTAGACGTCTGATGTCTTGTTTGTTTCACGGTTGGGTCCCTGGAAGTCCCGACCTTTTCCCCAGGGCCGTTTTTCATGCCAGGCCGTTTTCTGACGACCCCGGACTTGGCGAGGACCCCGGGACGCCCAACGTTTCAAACAAAAACCTTTCCTGAGATCCGACGTTGCAAACAAGTTGCAACATAACAACAAATCACGACCTGAGCCCCGGCTTGGTCCTGTCTTTCCGCAGCACCTTTCAGGCCAGATCGAACCGTCATGGTTCGTGGGGCCCGAGAATCCGGTCGAGAACGCCCGGTGTTTTGTTATCATGACGCGACCACGCCTAGGTTTACGTCGGGCGTGTTCCACTACAGGAGGAATATTCAAACATAGCATGAGATAGTCAGGGGACGATTTTTCTATATCTGCTGTCAAGTCTGGCATATCTTTAGCATAGCTTGCTTTTATTCCAAGAGCCGCCTGTAGGACGACACGCCCGACCTACGTCTAGGCTCCTGTCCTCCCGCAGGAGCCCGGCCTCTACATCGAGGCCGAGGGGGGGGCCCGGCTGGACTCCCGAAGGGCCATGGCGACGGCCCTCGCGACGCGCGAGGCCGGGCAGGCCGTTCGGCGCGGCCGCCTGGCCGGCGGCTCCGAGGAGGCGGCAGAGCCGCCCGTCGGCGTGGCGTCCCTGATCGGGCTGCCGGTGGCGTACGGCGAGGACTGCCGTGGAGCGGGGGTCGGAGGAGGGAGCCCCCGGGATCCTGGCGTCGCATCTCTCGTCGGCGCGGGACGAGCGCGGCCCTCTGCGAGCCCTGGCAGGGTCACAGAGCGACCCGGCTCGAGCCATGCCGCAGAGAGATCGGGTCTGGGGCCCCAGCCATGATTTTTGTTCGCGATGTTGCCTTACTCCTTGCAAGATTGGCTCTCGAAGGAGGCACCGATGCCGCTCATGACCCTTAAGTGACCTCTCCGCCTTCTTGGGCCCCCCGGGAGGCCTTCGTCGCCACGGCTGCACTCGCACAGGCCCTGACCCTGACCTTCCAGGATGAGTGGAGCGTAAGACCCGGGTTTGCCAGGACTCGGGTTCGCCATCGTTTTTTTACGACCGCGCCTCGGATTTTGACGAGGAGGAGTTTCGTGGGATGTCTGCAGCGGGAGGCCTCGTCAAAATGCAGGCTCGGCCTCGTCATTTTTTTGACGACCTCGTCGGGGATTTCCGAGTTCCCTGTACCCAGGTCTTACGTCCCCCTGACAGGAGGGCTAAGAATAACACCCGACTTAAAAACCGATCCCAGGGCTATTCAACGTCTTGGTTTTAGGCTGTTTCGCTCAGCTTTTTAGGTTTTTAGGTCTCCAGTGCTAAAAAATTAGCTCTCTGGAAGGTCAGGGGAGATCCCACGTGGCAGCAAAATCTGCAGCATCGCGAAAAGGGTCACGACCGGAGCCCCAGAGACCCCATCCGTCTGCGTCATTTTTCGAGCCGGATCGATCTGTAGGGCTCCCGGGGGGCCCGAAGTGGAGCGACAGCGCCCGCTGTGAAAAGCTGCAACACCAGGATCTGAGGGGGAGGCCTGGTCAGAGCGCACCCGGGGAGAGGCTCGGGGATTAGGCGATCGCAAACACGGATCAAGGGTCCCATTTCCACGGGACATCGTGGATCTCCGCCGCCCGAACGAGGCGGCACCCTTCCACATTTTGGGGAAGGCGCCTCCCCCGGTCCATGGATCTGGCGACCGCGCGCCAACTCCATCTGGATCGACCGCGCGCCATATCCATGGATCGCTAAAATCCATGTTTGTACGTCCCCGAAGGGAGTCGCGGCAGCGGTATCTGTCGGGGGTGGACAGACCTCCTAATTACCCTGACACGTCGATCCGCGAATTGGTCGTTTTCTGTTCGCGGGATGGCGTCGCGGCCGCCCTCCTTGCGGGCCCAGGCCCGTTGGTTTCGGTACCAGGCGGTTTGCATTGCAGGGTGGCTCACTATAGAGGGAGGCCTTTCCACCGCCGCACCTGTGCCCCCCCCCAAGACAAAAAGAACAAACATCAGGAGGGGAAAAAACACACAGACACAATTAATCATCGATCCCCAGGAATATATGGAAAAATATGGGGAGTGGGGGGAAGACAGAAACCCAGAAAACATGGAAAAATATAGGGAATCTTTTGATTTGTATGTACTTGTTTTTGTGTCCTGGGGCCCCTTCATAGAGGGAGGCCTCTCCACCGCCGCACCCGTGGCCCCCCCTCTCCCGAAACAGAAAGGACAAAGAGGGGTCCTCGGCGCGGGAGGCGGGCCCCGGGCACCCCTGGGCCGCCGTCGGCCTCCTCGTGCCGGGGGCCCCCGGGGCCCCCGGCCGCCTCGGGCGGCCGAGCAGGCGCCCGTCGGGCCATGTCCCTCTCGGTATACCGGAGAAAGGCTCCAAGGCAGCAGGGAAGTGGTCTGGGGACGATGTTTCGACGATGTCTGAGCATGTGTTGGTGATTGTTTGCGTGCATCCTGTCCTCTGTCGTCCAACCAATCCGCCTGCAGGAGGGCATGCCCGTCCTCAGAGGAGGCCTCCCAGCGGGGGTCTTCCGAGCAGAGGGGGCCGGAGGCTCGCGCCGCACCGCCGAGGCATCGACGATGCGGCTCGGTGTGGAGCCCGATCTACTCATCACGCCTGCGTCGGCCAGGTTCCATCGGGTGTGCGGCGCGACCTTCCGATGGCATCTGCTCGGGCCCCACTTTGGAGGCCTGCATGTGTCAGGAGGCAAAAAACACACAGACACAATTCATCGCCCACTCCCAGGAAAATATGGGAACATATGGGAAGTGGGGGGGCAGACAGAAACCCAGAAAATATAGGAAAATATGGGGAATCCTTTCATTTGTATATTTATTTGTGTGTCCCAGGGCCCCTTCAATGTGGGGAGGGCCCCCAGGGGTCCAGGGCCCGTTCTCAGAGCCCTGCCAGCATGACTGTGTCACGGCGTGTATTTTCCCCGCCCCCCTTCTGGACCCCTTCCCGGAGACCCGCTTTTCATCCCGAGTCGCTTTTGACGGTGCCGAGGCATGAGGGCCCTCTGGGAGCGAAGATGGCGAAAACCCGTCCGTCGTGATTTCTCGAACCGAGGGGACGGGGGTGACCCTCCGGACAAGGCCCGCTTCCCCTTCATGCCGGGAGGACAGCAGCGCGTGGACTGCTGGCCCCGCCCACGCGACGAGCGAGACCGTCACGAGCATCACGACGACCTACAGCCTCACTGGGAGCACCAGGATTGGGGAAACGCAAGTCTCGGATCTCCGACGATAGAAGCTGTTTCCGCGATTTCGGCCCCAGGGGTCTGTCATCGGGGCCCAGGGGCATCAAACAACACAGGTTGGTTGGGAAAAACGATGAACGGGTCGGGACATCTGGGGCCGTGCAACAAAAAAACTCATCGCCTTGTGCCTCGGGACCCGAATTCGCCGGAACATGGTTTATCAAAAATCGATGAAGGGGTCGGGACATCTGGGGCCGCGCACCAACAAATCTCATCGCCTGGTGCCTGGGGACCCGAACTCGCCGGAACATGGTTTATGACGGGCCGTCCTGACTTTTGACCGTCCACGTTCGTCGGAAGTTTGCAGCGAGAGTTCGCGCCCTCCCATTTCGGCCTGGGCCGCGCGCCGTCAGCGGTGCACAGGCGCGGATGCAAGAAAGCCGCGCGGACCGTCCAAAGAGTAGTTTTGAGGTTCGCTGCCAGTGCTGTGACCTGGGTGAGGCGCCCTCCCAATCGTCTCCCCCTGCGCCCTCGCGCCCAGCCTATGACTAGTTACCCCTCGTCCCCCCGATCGCCCCTGCGCCCACCACGTCGTCCCGACGCCTGGACTGGCCACAAGGACGCCGAGGAGGCGGCTGTGGAGACGATGCGGGCGGGGCACGTCCTGGACAGGTGCGTACCACTCGAAAGGCCCGGGCGGCCTTGGGCAGCGCGCCGCCCTGCTCTCGCCCCCCCCGACAGGAGGCTGCAGTGGACCGTGACGTCCACGACCACCTTCTCCACGGAGGAGCAGGGGCACGCCCCTGCCGCCGCCGCGCCTGCGCCCGAGCCGGCGGCCTGGGCCCCCGCGGCCCGGCGGCGGCCGCGGGCCCCGCGAGGGGCCCCTGCGCCGCCCCAGACAGCGCCCGCGGCGGCGCAGGTGCTGGAGGAAGATCGATCCTCTTGTGGTGAAAATTCGTAGTGGTCGGTTTTTGTTCCTCCCCTGTCTTGCCGATGGGCGCGGGCCCCCCAACCCGCCCTCCCCCCCCCCCCCAGAGTAGATCGTGGCTGTTTTTGGCGACTCTGTGTTCGAGCGGGTGGAGTCTCCCCCAGAGTCAGCACTCCTGCAGGCAGTGGCACTAAGCAGAGGTCAGGAGCCAGACCCCCCCTCCCCCCCCCCCCTTTCCGCCCAATGCCGAAACGCCGCACAAAAAGAACGCTCACGTATCCAGAACAGCTTGTGTCAGAGATGGGCTGGAAGGTGCTTTGTTTTTGTTGGGGAACGTGCCCTTGCTGTGACACGCTCTGGGGCACTTGTGTGCTCTAAACGGGGGGGGGGGCCGTCCGAGACAGCAGTAGTTCAGACCATGCGTCGTAATAGGGTGGGGACCGCTCTCGTGTTTGAGAGCGGCCGCAAGAGCACCCCAACCAGAGGTTGCGCCGCCCTGCCCCGCCCCCACGTTTCAACACACGTCTGGCCTGGTTTGACACGTTCCGCGCTTCCCAGAGCAATCGCAAGCGACTTCTCGCGCCCTCCAGATTTTTTTGTTAGAAAAATGTCAGGCCGCCCAGAGAAGGAGGGACAGTCGGGGATACACCTTCAGGGGACTAGATCTGGGCGCACCCCATCGAGGATGCACGCCCCCCAGCGTATATCCCCGAGTTGGGCCCAACGTGTTTGGTCCATTCGAACACCCCACGACTCGGGGATAGGGGTCGACATATCTAGGCGAACGAAGAATGACACAATCACAAAAACTCTGAGGTCCGCGCGGATTTCTCGGATCCGCGCTGGACCCCCCTCCCTGGCGCGCGGCGCGCGCCAAGGGCGCGCGCCGGAGGCGCCGCCAGTGGGGTCCAGCGCCGATGCGAGAAATCCGCGCGGACCTCCGCGTTGTTGTGCTTATGTCATTGTTCGTTCCCCTACGGGTGGTCGCTGGGTGTCCCGCCTGGCCCACCCCTGCATGCCGACCCGAGAAATCCGAGGGCGCGAGGGATGGCCCTGCGTCGCGCATCGCGCAGGGCGGGCGCGGTGCGCGAAGCGGGGTGACCCTGGAAGTCACCACCCACCAAGCCACCCCAACCTAACCTTCAGTCGGGCCTGTCCCTCTACAGGAGGAATATTCACAAGTAGTTCAAACATTGCCCAGGGACGATTTTTTCTATTATTTGTGGAGCATGTTTGAGGTATTGCTTGACTATGTTTTATTTTTTGTCCAAGATCCGCCTGTAGGAGGACACGCCCGACCTAACCCTAACCCGACGGCCCCACGTTGGCCTCCTTTCCCAGTGTGTCGGGGAGGGCGTCGTGAAGCATCAACAACAAAAACACAAATGGAGTCCGTCCCCCCCCCAACCCGAGATTCTGGTCTTCGGGTTCGGGTGGGGTGGTCTCGCAGGTCGTCAGAGATTGTGGGAGGTCCGCGCAGATTTCTCGGATCTGCGCTGGGCCCTCCTGGCGGTGCCTCTGGCGCATCCCAAGACGCACTCCGCACTGCCAGGCAAGGGGGTCAGGGCCGATCAAAGAAGTGCGCGTGGGCCTTGGAACGCGCATGCTGCATGCCGTTCTCCGCTTGACATGTTGGAGGTGCCAGATCTTCAGAAGGTTCCCGGCCCGCCTGCCCGCCCTGCATACCGCGGCCGTCAGGCCTAAAGACTCCAGGTTAGGGAAACGAGCAATGGCATAAACATAAAAACTCGGAGGTCCGCGCGGATTTCTCGGATCGGCGCTGGGCCCGCCAGGGATCCCCGGGCGCCAATCCCAGAAATCCGCGCAGACCTCCGAGGTTTTATGTTTATGTCATTGTTCGTTCCCCTACGGGTGGTCGCTGGGTGTCGCCGAGCGCGTTCCACTACTCGCAAAGTGCCTACTCGCAGACGTCCGAAAAACCATACGTCTGCCTCTGTGTCGTGTGTCGCACATTCCCTGCGGCGGATCCGGGCCATCTGCGAGTAGCGACTTTGCGAGTGGTGGAGCGCGCTTGTCTAGGGTGCCCCGCCTGGCCCACCCCTGCATGCCGCGGCTGGCAGGCCTCGAGACTCCGGGTGGTCGCTGGGTGTCCCGCCTCGCCCGCCCTGCACACCGCGGGTGCGCCGGGCTCCAAGGATCCCCGCGGGCCGGTCCCCCGCCCTTGCTGGCCCCGCATGCCGCGGCTTCAGGCCCCAGTGACTGCAAAGGGTGCGGTCATGCCGGGGTGTGGTCTCCGATCGGTGCCGGTGGGGGCCCGGGGAGCGCGGCAGTCCTCGTCGGGCCCTGCGGGGCGCGGCGGAGAGCTCCGTGGAGGTCTTCGCCCGCTCCCCAGGGCTGACCCCAAGGGCTCCCCCGAGGGCGCGAAGTTGTTCGCGCCTCGCGCTTCGCGGTCCTCGTTCCTCCTCCCCCTCCTCCTCGTCCTCCTTTTCTCCCTTTGGGGGGGCGGCGCGAGAGCGCGAAGTTATTCGCGCTTCGCGCTTCGCGCAGCGCGAAGCGCGAAGTTGGGAGCCCTAGAAGGTGCCGGTTGCAAACCACACCCACATCCTTCGGAATCGCCGGCCCAGACGTCCCCGAGAGCCCAGTTGCAACATCATGGAGAGGCATATCGATCAGGCGTAACTGACAGACAGCACCACCTGGGTAGCGTCACGGCGTGACGCCGTCTAGGCCTCGTGATGTCACGCCGTCCACAGACATCTAGAATAGACATGAGACCATGCACTCATACCGTTCACCAGCAGCGTACACCTATCACACGAGCACGCATCAAGTGAGTGTTTCACTAAAGCAAGGCAAACACATGTACGAACATATAACAATAACATGCCCCAAACTCACTCGGCAATTATCTGCACCAGAAGCACACACACACACACATCGAGATATGCACCGCGAACACACGCACACACACACACACACATCACGATCAGACTTCATAAACATGCACTAGTAACGCGCACCAGCAACGTACAACCAAACCTTACACCAACTTCGCAATCAATAACATACGGTTGTGATCATAACGCGCACGCTCTCTCGCACACCACCAACATACATCAGTCACGCACGCTCGTACCAGTCATCAGCACCATGCGCCAATAACATCCAACATTCACCCACAGCAGTGTCCGTCACCACACACGTAAGCCAATTCCATATACCAGCACCCAACGCTCATACCACACAGGCTCACATACAATCATTGCGACCAGGCAACTAGCACATACGCCCATGTTATGCACCAGCCACATATCAATGTTACGCACCACTAGCGCATCAACAGCATTTACCAATATCATACACCATTCATACGCGGCAAGCTCACATAGCAATCATATATATATATATATATATATGTACATCATGAACGTAGGACAATAACGAACACGCACACACAGCACACACCCGCCCATACCATGCATCAAGCATGCACATTTTGATAATATATCAATGTCTGATTGCAGGAAAACGATACAGGCCAGACTCGAATCACACAGACATCACTATCAATCACCATGCATCAGCGACATGCGCAGAGAGTATCCATCTTGATATGCTGAATCTGCTTTGTGGGGAGTGCTCGACGCAACCTATGTGTCTCTTCTTCTAGGTGCTGGGAAGCGTGCGCGCCGGCGACGGTGCTGGCACTGTCGGCCTGGCAGCCGTGGCGCCAGCCGACGCGGGCCTGGACCCGCTGCCAGAGGTCCCAGGGTTCCTGGCGTCTAGCGGGGGTCCCGCCGCGCGCGAGGCCGCCGAGCGCACCGTCACGTGGCAGCTGGCCGTCATCGGGGCCATCGCCGCCGTGGCAGTGCTGCTCCGACCGTGGAAGGCGGCGACGCTGCCGCAGATCGCCTACGACCACCTGCCCGACGTGGACACGGAGGCGCCGCTCGCCATAGGCGCGCCGCAGGGGGACTGGTGGGACGACGGCGCCCACAGCGGCGACGCCTTGCCAATGGCCGGCGTCGGCCTGGGGGCCAGCGGCCCGCGCGTGTTCCACATCGGCAGCCCGCGGTCCTCGCCGGCGCAGTCGCGCAGCCCGCCGCCGGGGCAAAGGCTTCCAGGCGGGCGCCGCCAGCGGGCCTTGCCGCTGTCGCCCTCCGAGACCGAGCCAGAGGGCGAGCCCAGCGGCGCCAGCTGCGCCAGCTCCCGCGCAGGCTCGCCAGGCCGGCCAGGCGAGTGCAGCACCGCCTGCAGCAGCGGCAGCTTGGCGGCGACCACCAGCGCAGGCGGCGAGGGGTCCCCCGGCTGCGGCGCGGGCGCGGCGCCGCAGGCGGAGCCGCCTCAGCCGAGGGGGCAGCTCGCGGCGGCCGCGGGCCGCTGCAGGGAGCGGAGGGGCGCCGTCGCGGGCGGGCGGGTGGTGCTGCTACACGCCTCCCCGCTGGTCATTAGGAACCCGCAGAGGCCAGGGCACCTGATCAAGGTGGACGAGCTGGCGGTGGAGCGGGAGTGGGACGTGATGGTGCAGGCCTACGACCAGGCCGCGCAGGGGCTGCGCGGTGGGGGCGCCGTGCCGCGCGGGGGGTCCGCGCGCTGGCAGCGCCCGGGCGTGTCGCTGTCTGCGGAGCTGCTGACGTCCACCTCACTGCAGCACAACCTGGTGCCGGCCGCCGGTTGCGCTGAATGGGGGCAGCGTTCCCAGACATGATCGCGTCGTAGAAAAGTCACGACGGCAGGTTTTTCGTTATTTTCGGCCCTTGAAGGCTTTCGCTGGCGTCGAAAGGCGACTCAGGATGGAAAAACGATTCTGGGGAAAGGGTCGGGTACGCCGTCCTGAAGAAAGCAGACGTCGCATGTCTGGGTTAGAAACGCTGAGGGCATGTTTGTTTCGTTTTCGTCCAGCCAGCCAACACTGGGAAAGCACGGTAGCTCAAATCAGAGTCGAAAGTGGCAGCACAAAGCGGACGGCGAGAACGATAATCTCAAAAACTATGGAAACATTCACCCCAAACAGGAAACAACGTCGAGAAACGGCAAGAAACATTGCAAGAACTCGCCCTGGCGTCTGCTGGCTGGGTCCGACAGGAGCCCGGGGCCCCTGCCCGCAAAGTGGCCTCGCCTGAGGCCCCTGAGCGAAGAAGGGGCACCTGGAGACTGCTTCCTCTGATCCCGTGGCGATAGGTAACTGGCGTGACGGGGGGCGGGGGAGGGGGGGCAGGGGGCCAGTCGAGCTCGGGGGCGGCCCATCGGGGGGGGTGATGACAAATGGGGTGTGGATATCATCCCAGACATGCGACGTTCCGATTTTTTCAATACGGCGTCCCCCGAAGTCCAGACCCTTTCCCCGGGACCGGTTTTTCATCCTGAGTCGTTTTGTTGACGGTCCCGGGGCCCGGCGAGGGCCCCCAAGGGCCGAAAAGAGTGGAAATTTGCCGTCCGGATTTTTGTACGACGCGATCATGTCTGAGATGGCGGGGGCCATGATCCCGGGATTTCTTGGTCCCCCCTTCGTTCGGGGCGTCCCCACATGGACTTCCTCGTCCGCGCACGCGCCTCGGGCCATGATTTTTGCGGCCCCCCTCTTGGACGCCTACCTCCTTTGGATGCCTCCGACGAGTCACGATTCGCGCCAGCGTCATCTGGGAATGCTCCCCGAATTTCAGGTCGGACATGTCCCTCTACAGGAGGAATATCCGAAAGTAGCAAAAATAATT